AATATCTGTTACATCCATCCTTTTATTTCGTAACAGTAACATATGACTTAATATATTCCGTTTCTGTGTCATTATAAATTAATCAACTCTATTGCGTGATTTTGACGCCGTGTTGACGTAATGTTTGGAAGACATATCCACGTAGTTCCGGCGTCCTTATATTTCAATCAGCTATATTGCGTGATTGTGACGTCGTAGCGACGTAATTTTTGGACGGTGTAGTCACAAGGAGATCTAGAATAAAAAATGTAAAAATGGTTAGCCTACGACTACTTAAAGTACATGTGGTACTAAACCATACCTATCACCGTACGTGTCTGATTGCCACGTGCTCGTATGGGTTAATATATCACGATTCTGCATGTATATGGTTTAATCAGCTCTATTGAGCGATTGGGACGCCGCAGTGGTGCCATTTTTGAAGGGCGTAGTCACATGGATATCTAGAATAAAATATGTAAAGATGGATAGCCTATCACCACTAAAACCACTTGTAGTACTAAACTATACCAATCGCCGTATGTGATATATATCTAGTTCCTGCGTCTTTATATTTCAATCAGCTATATTGCGTGGTTGGGACGTCGAATTGATGTCATTTTTGGGTGGTGTAGTCACATAGAGATCTAGAATAAGATATGTAGAAATGGTTAGTCTACGACCACTGAAAGTACTTGTGGTACTAAAGTATACGCATTGCCGTAAGTGATATATATCTAGTTCCCGTGTCTTTATATTTCAATCAGCTATATTGCTTGATTGTGACGTCGTAGTGGCCTCGTTTTTGGATGACGTAGTCACATGAAGATCTTAAATAAAATATGTAAAAATGGTTAGTCTACGACCACTGAAAGTACTTGAGGTACCAAACCATACCCATCGCCGTACGTGTCCGATCGCCGCGTATGGGTTAATATATCCCGATTGTGTATCTTTATGCTTTAATCAGCTCTATTGCGCGACTGAGACGTCGCAGTGATATCATTTTTGGAAGGCGTAGTCACATGAAAATTTAGAATAAAATATGTAACGTAATTTTTGAATGACGATATATGCGAAAATTCCTACGCCACACCCACTGGAAGTTATTGTGGTGCGAAACTACACCCATGTGAATGTGTATTAATATGTCTATTTCTGCTTGTCTAAAGCCTTACTTAAAGTGAAAACGTATAAATCCTATTTATTATTAAAGTGTGACACAATATTTGGTATATCGCAGGGCATAAAACGTAAATTAATATGTCAGTTTCTGCTTGTCTATGGCTTTTGTTAGAGCTAACGTATAACGAATAAAATAATAGGTATTTTTATAAGATTTACATGTTTATCCCGGGGGAGAGGAATGCCGAGAAGACGGCTTATCCATATGGCGAACCACATCCTCTCGTCCGGTTACCATTTCAAGTCGCAAGTGCAGTTTTAAGTATTTTGTGGCGTCTGCAGCTCCCGCAAAACCATGGCGGTATTTCCATACCATGGCCGCTACGGCTAAACTTATGGCGACTGACTTTTTAGCTGCCACAAACCAATGACGAGCTGCCGTTACCGCGGCAGCAAATTGAAAACCAATGGCAGGTAAAATTTTGCTGCCCTAACCACGGCAGGTGGGCCGTAAAGACAAGGCTGTCCCTTATGGTGACGAATATTGGGTAAGTTGTAACGTTTTTCTTATGAATACAGTTTTGTTGGATTTGGGGTTAGGGTTTAAGTAGATATGATTCCGAATGATCAATTAAAATCTGGTACATTAATTTGTGAATATACCGTTAATACTGATTACTGAAAAGCTCTATAAAACCATGGCAAGAGCTGCCGCGGTTCGTTCGTGGCAGGAGCTGCCATGAAGTGGTAAGAACTGCGTCTCCCAAGTCGGGTATGGGATTAGTTATATTGTTTGTTTTCGGAAGCATGGACTTGGTGGTGGAGGAAGCCGTAACCGACCAGCGGTTACGTGAACCACCCAACGACGGCGAGGAGTCCAGCAATCCTCTCGCACGTAACCATCCCTGCATGGGATTCGAACCTGCTTGCGAACCCGTGCGTGTTGTACCCAACTATATCCATTGCGTGAACGTAAATTAAAATATCCACCCACAGAATCACATTGTTGCTCAGATGAGGCATTTGTGAATGTTCGTTGTCGGAAATTGGCGTCTCGCTTGTGTTTTATATTCATTTTGGGCTCTGCGGAGCGACCATGAAATGAGCGAGATCGCTGGCGTTGGGAAGTTTATGGACATGGATGTAATATGTATTATATATGTGATTGATAAATTGGTATTGTATGATTTTATAATTCGTATATACAATATGACTTTTTTAAATGGTGGTAATTAAAACCATGATATTCAAAATTCTAAAAAAATGATTAAAAATCTTGATCTAATTCGGAAACTAATTATAAAAAAAAAAAAATCATTCTATGTCAAGAAAAAAAAAAATAGAGCAAAACTAAAAAAATAGCATAAAAATTTAAACAAAAAAAAAAACAAAAAAAATGAACGTAGTCGCAGGCGCCATTACGAGTGACGTCGTTATACTTTGACAAGCTCTATTTCGTGATTGTGACGTCGCAGTGACGTAATTTTTGGATGCCGTAGCCAGGTGGGGGTTCAGGAGTGACATATTAAAAAAAATTGAGCAACGCCCACTAGAAGTATATGTGGTACTAAACGTGGATTTATGAGAGAGATCGCTGCCGTTAGTGAGTTCTTTCTCGTCGGCGCAGATGCCATTTCAGGCGATCGTAGGCATACAGTACCGGTACCGGTACTTTGGCAAGCTCTATGACAGTATGGCGTGATGATGCCGTAATTTTTTGATGGCATAGTCAGGTGGGGGTTACAGTACAGCACACTATCCAAATTCCAAGAATTTCCCTCCATTTGGCTCAATAAAACAAACACTTCATGTGTCTCACAAACGAGGGGCCTCTGCCCTCTGGGACCACGTCAGATGCTTCATATCACGCCGTGCTTGTCTCAATAATAATCTAAATTAATCGGAGCCGTCACATGATCAAAATTCCCATTTTCCGCTAAAAACTCTCGAATGCCACTGTTAAATTTTTTTTGCTCTGGTAAATCGGATCATTTCTTCCCAAGGAATTCAATGATGACGATACTAGATTGCGCTTTTTTGTAGTATTTTGCGCAACTTCATTACCGTATACTGTATTATTACCGATATTGAATTGAGGGACAACAATGTCCAGACGTCTCTCCAAAGGAGGGGTGTCTGATCATCTGTAAAATGGGTTTCTCTGAAACGGGACAATGTCACCCGATATGTATAGTGTGCCGTACTGGGTTAGAATTGACATTTGCAAAAATCATTATGCTACGCTCACTAGAAGTACTTCTGTACTTGGGGTACAAAACTACACGAGACTCGTCAGTCCTAACCCCCATCTGACTACGTCATCCAAGAATTATGTCACTACGACATCACAATTACGTCATAGAGCTTGCCAAATATACGTAGAATCGCCCGAAATGGCCTTGGCGCCGACGATAAAGAACTGACTGGCGTTATCGATCTCTCTCCTATTGGAATCGTTGCGACGAGAAAACGAGAGAAAATTACGTCACTGCGACGTCACAATCACGATAGGAGAGAGATCGATAACGCCGGTCAGTTCTTTATCGTCGGCGCCAATGCCATTTCGGGCGATTGTACGTATATTTGGCAAGCTCTATGACGTAATTGTGATGTCGTAGTGACGTAATTTTTGGATGACGTAGTCAGATGGGGGTTAGGATTGACATATCAAAAAATTGTTATGCTACGCCCACTAGAAGTAAGTTAGGTACAAAACTACACGAGACCCTACTTCTTCTTTGTTGTATGTATGTTGAAGTTGAAATTCAATGTTCAAAAGGTAATTTTATTATTTTAAGGGTATGTGATTTATAAAATTTTTCATTTTCGTGGTACTCTTTATTGCTATCAGTTTTCATAATTTCGGGTCAACACTTTTTTTATGGTACCTTTTCTAAGGTTTTGTTGCATAGTTTTAAATCCTAATAAAGTCCTTATAAAAATATAGTAATAATATTTTTTCACAGTGAATTATGTACGATTGTATTTCAATTATTGGTGTAGTTTTTGAATGAGTTTATAATTTATTTATTTAACTTCTGATGTAAAAAAGTTACGGTAGTTTTCTGAGATACAGTCAACTTGTTTTTCCAAGATCATGTATCTTTGCTTCTTTTAGTAATTATCCAAACTATTACCTGAAATTTATTTATTTAACTTCTGATGTAAAAAAGTTACGGTAGTTTTCTGAGATACAGTCAACTTGTTTTTCCAAGATCATGTATCTTTGCTTCTTTTAGTAATTATCCAAACTATTACCTGAAATTTCTTCATAATAGACTGCATTTTATATTTGAACTTTCAAGTTAGAATTCCCACGATTAGTCACTTATTAACTATGCGCATTTATGCAGTCAAAATTTATAGTATAATCTGAAATGAATTTACTTTTCCCTAAATTACTTTCTATACAAATAAGTTCCATTTTCATTTTACCTATTAATTTGCTAAAACTTTTTATGAAAATAATGCTGTTTGACTTGTTCACCTATCCTGACTGATGTATTAAAACAAATTTATTTGTAAAAAAATTCAAAGTTTTACGATTGTGGTCAAATCTGGCTTGTGTGACAAGCTAAAAAAATTAATCTATACTGGAACTTTTGGACTAGTCAAAATGAAATAAGGACCAGGCCAAATTCTTGAATATCAATTTTTTCAAATATAGACTTCCTTCAGAGGTCACAGCCATATTCGTTCTGTTGAATGTTTATATAAACCTACCTCGTTCAGTTAATATAGTGGAATGCTTGTGCGATATATGCAGACTGTCTTTTATTATTTTGCCTTCTTCCTATATCTTACTGCACTGTATTTCTGTATTTGTATTAAAGTACTGGTAATCAGCTAACACAAGTAGCTACCTTTTACTATCTTGCCTTCCTCATGTATCTTACTGCACTGTATTTTTATCAAAGTGATTAGTTAACACAAGTAGCCCAGCTGACAAGATGTCTGTAATACAATGTCATACAAAAGAAGATTTCGATAAGCAACTTTGTGATGCTGGTCAAAAACTTGTTGTTGTCGACTTCTATGCGACTTGGTGCGGACCGTGTAAAGTGATTGGTCCCAAAGTTGCAGCAATGAGTGGGGAATACAAAAATGCTGTTTTTCTAAAAGTGGATGTGGACGAAAATTCAGACACTACTGAAAAGCATGGAATAAGTGCTATGCCTACATTTCTGTTTTTCAAGGATGGTCAAAAAGTTGATGAACTTGTGGGAGCAAGTGAAGCCAAGCTGAGAGAGATGATAGAGAAGAATATTTAGAATCTTTTCAATATAGTTTTGATTTCCTGTAATTGATCCAATAGCGATAAATTATCCCAAAAATCATTTTGAATTCGGGAATGCACAATTTGTAGTCAATTTTAATATTTGTAGTGTTGTAAATTGTAATCTGAGGCTAATTTTTTAATACAGATGTACTCAGTGAAGATGTTACCTGGGTTTAAATAGTTGAATACAGAATTCCGATTTTGAACAAAGTTTGATAAATGTATTTATAAACGGGAATGGGTTTGATAATTTATTTTGCAGTTCTGATTTAAAAAAATTAGTTTTCTGCGATACAGTCAACATATCTCTTCAAGATCATGTATCTTTGCTTTTTTTAGTAATTATCCGAACTCATTGCATTTTATATTCGAAAATTTTGAGTTAGAAACACGAATAGTCACACAATTTGCTTATGATGAAGTCAAAATTTGTTGCCCAATCTGGATTGAATTTACTTTCTTAGAATTTCTTCCTATACAAATATGTTCTATTTGCACTTTTCGGTATTACTTATTAAATTTGCCCCAAAATGAACGCAATTAGGCTTGAGCACCCATTCTGATATTTTACAACCAGTTTCTCGTAAAATTTGTAGTTTTACCCAATGCAGTCAAATCGAGCATGTTATTTATATCATGATTTGCTAAAAATATTCTTGAATATTAATCTTTTTAAATATGGACTTCCATAAAGCTCACATGCATATTCGTTCTGTTGAATGTTTATTCAAACGTTCTAGTTAATATAGTGAAATGCTTGTACGATATATGCAGATTATCTCTTGATTTTGCAAATTTTGATGATAATAGGGAATATTCAATATTGTGATAATACATTATTCAAATTTCAGTTTTTTCGAGTGACTATTTTTTATAAACAAATTTTCAGGTATTCGAATTGTAGTACTGACAATAATATTGGTTCTGTTTTATTTAGCTTTGGGATATTACTTTTAAAAATTGAACTTTCCATAACATGTGAAAACTTGTACGATATTCTGAAGTCTGGATATTTTACATTGGATTGAACAACAACCATGGGTGGATGTATAAGGAGGCTGATCGGCCCTCCACAAAATTCAAATACAAATGGAAGCAACCGACAACCAAAAATGTCACAGGCATCATTTTCAAATATTCAACAACAACAACGATCTCAAAGTAAGAGACTACCAGAATTTTTTCTTTTATTTATATCTGCTTTTTTAAATTTATTTATCAAATAACATATCGCCGGATGAGAACAGAACAGGCCTAAGTCACAATTTTGAGTTTTGAGAAAAACGCAAAAAACAATTTGGAATTTTTTTATTTTTGTATATCTAGATATTCACACTTAGTAAAGTCCTGATCTCTGGTTATTTTAGTGTGGATGAGAATATCTTTGTAATCAATATTTTTTGGCACTCCAGCTTCAATTCCTTTCTGCTTTTTTACCCCCATAAGAGATTTTGGCCCATTCTGTTCTCAACAACTTCTGAAATTTTTTGTATGGGATGCAAGGTAAAACAAGATGACTTAGGCCTAAGTTGCACTGAACAAATTTTTAGGGATGTAAGTTTCGGACATTTCATTGCTGATGTTCATGCCCATCATATTGGAACCTATAATTTTTGTATGTATAATTCATACTCTCAGCATGGTGAAGAAATAAATTACTGAGTGATAGACCAGTGATTGTCATTACCAAAATAATGTATGTAGGCCTTCTGTTAGAATACATTTTGATTAGGGCGAATTTTCCTAGAACCATTATGACTAGAGCTGTGCATTTTCGAATACGTCATGATTTCAGGATCGGATATTATTTCTATATACTTGGAAAATATGTATGTGAATTTTATTTATTGTAATGTGTCTTCTAAAAACATAAATTACTGAAATCATGAATCCATTACTCAGGCGACTGAGAATTCGTCTGAACCAATTTGATTAATTTACTATCTGATTCGATCCGAAATGCCCAGTCCTAATTATGAGTCTATGACATATCATTTTTTGAATAAAATCAGCAAATATAGGTGTCCATAAAGTCGTAAAGAATTTTAAAATTATAAAGGTAATTTATCGTTACCATATATTGACTTGGCCCACACAGATGTATTAAATGAAGTAAAAATACTTTAACAATTACTGATTAAAAAGCAACAAACCTGGTTAAGATATATTGAAAACTGACTTCATATCTAAATTGAAAATTGTAAAGGAACTTTATGAACACCCTGTATATTCTAAAATTGACAGTATTCATTGTAGAATTTTACACAAATCATTGTTAATTTATAGGATTTAGATTTGATCATATCGAATGTGGGAGATAAATTTCATTTTAGATTGATTAAGACTTGCTTATTATTACAGAGAGTGAAGTGAAATTTAGATTCTTTTTATCTGATCATCAGATGCAAATGCCTGAGATAACAAATTTTCGAATGAAGTTATTTTAAATTATTCTCGAAATTAAGATTTGACAATTAAGTAAAACGTAGAAACTATAAATTGTGTATGTGGGTGGTTCATGAGTAGAAGTCATTCAGTCAGTAGTTATTTTTTCACATGCCGATAGACGATAGTACACATTGTACATATAGAAGTAAAAAAGATTTAGGAAAGACACGATAAACCAGTTATGCGGTTAACCAGTAGCGCGGCGGTGTGGCTCAACGGGCTAAGCGTTAGGAATACGCTCGCCACCGCACCTCTAATTACTCTGCTTGGGTTCGCAGGTTCGAATCCCATGCAGGGATGGTTATGTGCGAGAGGATTGCTGGACTCCTCGCCGTCGTTGGGTGGTTCACGTAACCGCTGGTCGGTTACGGCTTCCTCCACCACCAAGTCCATGCCTCCGAAAACAAAACAATATAACTAATCCCATACCCGACATGAAATGGTAACCGGACGAGAGGCCGTGGTTCGCCATATGAATAAGCCGTCTTATCGGCTTTCCTCTCCCTCGGGATAAATATGTAAATCCTATCCTAATGGTTATCGAGCAGCCTCACCCATGAGGGAATCTAACATTAAATCATACTGTATCATAAGTATTGCTAACTTAGTCGTATCTATTAATTTGATTACCTAAATACATTTTTCCTATATTGATTTGGGGATTAACAAGGTTTCTAAATAATTGTTTACTCTCTCCAGCTTTTGGAAACTGTTAAAAACAGGGTAATTAATCGGAACTACAATAATTACCCTCTTGAGTTATTATTCAAACAATTTTTCAGAATGTATTCATGGTCTATGGCTGTTTCTGTAATTGTATTTGTTAATATAACGGTTTCATCTTGACCCATTTTGAAATTGTTCGAATATCTCTCATTTTGGTTTGTGAGAAACACTATTATTAATATTTTTTTACAGTTGTCTTATTTTTATTCTTTTTTTATTGGTATTATTATCGTAGGAACACTTGATAGGACATTTTCATTTTTTCCTAATTTTTCCCGCCACACACAAATAAGTATGACATCATTGTTTTAGGTTTTCAACAACCTGCCATGAACGATATGGAAATATTTATTGCTCTCTATGATTACGATGCTCGAACTGAAGATGATCTAAGTTTTCATAAAGGTGAGTCAGAGATAATTTATGTGATTTTTAGTTCTTACCTGCCGTCTGTGAAAAGATGACTAATTATTTGTACAACGTGGTTTGGGAGAGATAAGCCCCATTGTGTTTAGTAGTTTTCAAACCCTTTTTATTGTTTGTGTAGCATGGACCAGAGTTCGATAGCACATTCTTTCTATTGCTAGTACTTGGATGTACTTGTTTTAACAATGTTCTACCAGAGGAGTGTGTTAACCACTTCACATTTTTTTTATCTGACAAACTGACCAAAAATGACAAAATTTCAAAAAATATTATTGTGGAAATTGTTTGTTGTGTTGTGCACACGTGCTGGGGTATGGCTTAGAAATTAAGTATAGGAATTGAAGGTTATTCACAATTTTTTCAAATTTGATGGCTTTACAAGACACGCTACTTCGTTTAATGTGACAAGTGTTTTCAAGAGGTTCGTGTTTTTTTGTGACCTATTGACCTTATTTGATTTGAACTACCTAATTATAAATAGTAACCTATTCTTGTTGTTAAAAGGTTAGGACATCCTGAAGTATGCACACCAAGATGGCGTACAACCTGAACTCAGGTTGTGTACCAGGTTAGGGTTCAGGATGTGCGACATCTTGGTGCGCATACTTCAGAATTACAGAAAGGTAGCTTACTTTCAATTTTGAGAAATCTGTTTTTTTCTTCTATATGCAGAGCAAAGTCATTTTTTTTTTTGATGACCTTATTTCAAACTTCCGTAAGAGATAGATACTCAGTCTATCAGTCTATAAAGCAGATAGTGTACACCGTAATATTTGTAAATCATAAGACTCAAGATTTTTTCAATTAGGCAATGTCTACTCAGTTGTGGCGATGGCCTAAATATACCCTGCTGCCCAACATATCACAGGCAGCTGGCTACTTGTGCTGAGAATATATATGTATTCACACAGGGTGGCTCCAAAAAAAATTAGAAATAATGAATTTTTTTTTGTTCTACCAAAATTTCTATTTAACACTTGAACTTCTGATTGTGATTCTACCAAAATAAAGAAAATTTATTCACCACTTGAACCTCTGTTTGTTTATGATTGTACCCAACAGTTTCAGTAATCTAGAATGCCGCTTTGCTCAAAAGTTGTGGAATATGTTTAAATGACGATGATTATGGTTTTTGGGTCTCTCTGGAAAAGGTAGTAATTTGCTCTAGGTGACTGTTTCCTAACCTTAAATTAGGGGTTCATTCTTCGATTTTATATTGGTTTAAAAAGCAGTTGTTCGGTAGTTAGAAAATCAATATCTTCATTATATTTTTAGTTTGGTAAAAATGCTGCTTTATAAATTTAAAAGCATATTACTAAAACATGGAATTCAATATATCCATGGAAAGTAACTTTTAATAATATGAATAATAGCACTTCAGTAACTATTGTTAGTTTATTAAGCTTGCATTCATGTCTTTGAATGTTCAAAGCATCTATGTTGAGTTGTCTGATAATGAGGGATCCAAGTCAGTAAGAAACCATATTATATTTTTAATCACTTCAACGAAAAAGGAAGAAATTTTATTCAACACTCGAACTTATGTTTGTATAATTGAACCCATAAGTTTTAGTAATCTAGGATGCTTGCTTAAAAGTTCTGTTCTCTTTAGGATATGTTTCAAATGGCATGGGTTCTTTTTTTTGGTCACCCTTCATCATAAAGTTTTTATTTGATATATTGCTCTTACTAATACAGCTTTCAAACTTACTCGAATTAATCCTAAATTTATGCTACTGTAAGTTAAACTGATTTATTGGTAACTTTTTAAGAAAATTTCCATGGTTTATCTGAATCTTTGTTTTATATTTATAACCAATGAGTCCAACGATTTTTTTTAATTTTTGATGTTTTTCCAAGATATCTTTATTTTTCAAGGTGACCTCATGGAGGTTTTGTCAAGAGACCAAGGCGACTGGTGGATGGCAAGGCATCTCAATCCTCCGCCTAATGGCAGACGAGAGGGTTACATACCATCAAACTATGTTGCTAAACATAGATCTCTTAATGCTGAAGTGTAAGTTTTTAATGATTGCCCTCAGAAATATTGCCTTGGGCTATGTTATCAAGTTACGTTTTATTGTATGTTATGTGTCACAGCCATGAATGAATAACTTGATATGTAATAATTAATTGTAGATGGAATTCCCGCTTCTCTAAATTTTAAGCCAAGCTGAGAATTTTTTCCAAACTTCAGTTATAAAATTCTACCATTTCACTGTGATTTTGACCAAATTTTTGTGTTATTCTTTCTATGTTTGATTTATATGACCATCCGTGATATAAGCTGTAAGCTTTATACATTTATATATGAAAAACATTTTTTTTTATTCTGCCTGAAACTGAAAGCCAGGGATGGTTGTACCAGAATAATTTATTGTTTGATCAAAACATGAAATTCTGCCATATTTGTGAAATAGGAAATTTTCCATTCTTTTCATCAAAAATTTTTAAACTGTTAACGAAATTTATCGTCACCACATAATATAGTTTGCTGGCTTCTACAGGGGGATTGAATGAAAATACCTTGAATAAACACTGATTAAAATAAAACAAACTTGGATAAGATACATTGAGAACTGACTTCATACTAAAAGTTTGATTGTAATGAGACTCTTTGAACACCTTGTATATTAAAATCAAATCTCCTTTGATTGGTTTTATACAATCTGGCGGGACTTTCAGAAAATCTGCTCCTACCAGTTTATTAAATAAAAAACTTTATAGTTTTCCTCAAAAATAAAATTTGCTTTAATTAATAGGTTTTCTACAATTCTACAAAATATTTAGATTCCGCATGGCTGTCTGTTATTAATCTGTTCTTACCAATTTTTTGGGTATAAATATTGAAATTGAGAACTTTTACTCCTATAGCAATTTTTTAATCTATTGAAGTGTGGATTCCATTTGAACTTCTCTGCTTCATAACTTCACTTAATTTATAAAACCTTCATTCAGTTTTACACCCGAACTAATATTGGGTGTTACTTTTTTCAGATGGTTTATCCGAAATACGAAACGTTTAGAAGCCGAACGACGATTAATGATGCCAGTTAATGTAACTGGATCTTTTCTAGTTCGAGAAAGTGAGAGTAAACCTGGGGATTATTCTTTATCTGGTGAGATATCTATTTGCAACAGTACTGGTTGGTCTTAATTAATTGGGCGCTTCAGAAGTGTGAGTACCTATATAGAGGTACCATAACTAATTTTTTTCGCCTACTTCATATCGAGTTGTGTGAAGGGACTGAAACCTATGGGCAGGGGGTATATTCACTTGGCTAATACAGACAGTCCCCGAACTCGTCATAGAACTAAAATGAGAAGACAATAATATTATGGCCTAACCCTAACCTGGTACACATGCTACCAGAATACCAATTCACAGGAATACCAATTATTGTGCTTGAAGGGTAATTTTGTTAAGTGTACAATTAGTACAAAGCTAATCGAATATTCGAATACTTTGGTTATATTCAATTTAGTCAATCCAATGCTTCAGGAATAGGGGGGGGGGGTATCTAATTTAAAATATTTTATTCAAAAATGTCTTTTGAAACTTTTATTATTTTATGATAGACAAAAACAGATATCTAATTTAAAATATTTTATTCAAAAATGTCTTTTGAAACTTTTATTATTTTATGATAGACAAAAACAGAATAAAATCGACAATACTAATTAAAAAAATATTTATCTTAATTATTCTGCATGACCAAATTTGTTTCTATGAAATTACAATTGTCTTGAAAAATTTCTCACAAAGAACACCTTCAGAATTGATTAATTTCATGTTCTAGAAAATTATTCTAGAATATATTCGCAATACTAAATTATTCGTTTTTGATCATCCCTGTCTAGTACACATAATAAAGCAAAGACCTTTTTCGTCGTTAGATAAGACTTCAATTGCTTACAATGATAATTTTTCACAATTCTAAATCCTAAATTCAAGATATAATAATAAGATTAATTTTTCATTCTATTAAATTTGAATATCATTGGCCAGTCGAAATATAATATATTCGAATGATAGTAATGGGATTATCAATTAATTTGTGAAAGATTATTTGTGAGAAAATAAATCATTCAACTTCTGATCAATATAACATTCACGACACCACGCTTGCGGAAAAACCCTGATTCAAATGTTGTTGTTGTACAAACAGTTAGTGTACATACCAAGTCTATATATAGCTAATATATATTCAATTTTTATTGAAAAATTAATGGACATAAGTTGAAATGTGGAATGATTTAAGATCGAATAAACATGAATAATTACCAGTTTTCCTTTTCCACTTGATAATTGGTAGTGTATGTCGTTTCCTATGGTTTTTGAATAATAATAAAAATTGGAATCATGTTCTACGCAAAATAGCAAGTATATTTGGGAGTAATGTTATCACTGTTTGATTAAATCAAATCTTGTTTTGTCTGAAAACGTAGGCTTATTAAAAATATACTTTTGTATTTCATGGAAAGACGCTGTGTTAATAAAGTTTGTGAATGTTATTCGGTGTTTGTTTAATATGTTATATCTAGTTTTGTCTAAAGAACGAAAAGTTATAAAAATATGTAATTGTTATTTATCTCTATAATACTATCTGATTCTAGTAGAGAGTAGACAATGAGAAAGGATCTTTGATACGATACAAAATATCCTGGTACAATCTATATTCAAAATTGTCAACAAATACGTGAGCCAAAACTGAAAAAAAAATTATCTGATTTCTACTTACCATTGTGTTACAAAAGCATGATACAGCAAATTTTATTTTATTGCCATGAAAATATGATATTTCAAATTTAACCAAATAGACATGTTTATGTCTTAGGTAATGATAATCTCAGATTAAAAACTCCTTCATAAACAAAATCTTAATTTTATAGATCACAATATTTTCAGTCTGCCAATAAACTATATTTATACCAATATATCATGTTTAATGATATAATTCTTGTCTCTTGTTGTGAAATTTAAAAATAAATGTGACAGGTGAGTCATTACATTTTCGTTAACCGTAAAATATTTCTAAATCATCTCATAAATCATGGCAAGTGTAAAAATAGCGAACAAATTTATTGCCTTAGTATATGGTAAACTGGTACTACGGTAGTGTGTTAGGGTTAGGGCATAATTTTATTACGAATTTCCTTATTTTAGTTTTATTACGAGTTCGGGGACTGTCTGTCTTAGCCAAGTGAATAAACCCCCTGCCCATAGGTTTCAGTCCCTTTAGACATCTTGATGTAAAGTAGGCGAACAAAATTACTTATCTAGTACCTCCTTATTACTACACACATTTCCAGATTGCCGTTAAACTTTGAGAATGGTCAAAACCGAATATTCCACTTCTCTGAATACATTCTGAGAAAATAGTTTCGAATATGGAATACATTCTTAATTGGTGGCAAGTTCAGGTGAAAAATTAGATAAATCATTATATTTTAATAACGTTGATCATATCTATGAAGTCATTATTTCCACTGTGTTATTTGTTACCAGTTAAGATATTGTATGTAATTGTATTACTTGTCTGGTGGCCCAAAATTTTTATTTAACTCGTTCTAAATTATTCCTAAATTTGAAAATTTACCATATGAATCAATGTTGAATGTATTCGATTCTTAATAACAACCCTGGTTGTAATTTTATGACGTCTTATCCTCCGTGGGAATTTTATTTTGATTATTATTACTCAGAAGTAAAACGACTGGTTTACAATTTCCCAGAAAAGGGCTTAAGTTAGAATTATTACTGTATGGTATGGTCCTTGAGTTGTAAAATCCCCTGAGGGTGCGTTCAATTGTTGTTGTGTTTATTTTACTCATTGTGGTTAGAAAGATAATCAGAATGAATAATCACCGGCATTGGCTGATGGAGTATTGACAATGTATTATAATTTACCTGTATTTTATGAGCTCTACCTGTCGTTATGACATGATGCTGACGAAAACGATAAATGCTGAGTATTTTTTCTACAAAAAAACTGGAAAAGAACAGCTAATATTGCATGCATTACTGTGAGCATTTCTGTCATATTTAACAGAAATTCTAACTTGCTCGCTATTAAATTATATTATACTTGCGTTTTACCAACCATGTTTACTCTGTGCATAATCTTAAACAAGGAGCGGAGTCAAATATATGAACAGTCATAACGGAATGTCATGAATATATTTATACAGAATTCCATAAAATTTTGGGTGAATAGCCCTAACAGACTTGCTGTTGAAAAAAATAAGAGTAAAAACTTTCTACTAAATTTTCATCTTTAAATACTGGAAATATGAAACCAAATGTTGTTTTCATTACCCCAAGAATAACGAAAACAGTTTATGGAAATACTATTCACAGATTTGCTTCAAGTCTATTTAATGTCTAATTTTTACCAGATGTTGGCTCAAACAATAAATATGAAGCTTATCTTCTAAAAGTTAAGAGAAGTAGAAGAGCTAATATTTTATGCATTCTTGCTTTATTTAATAATACCATGATTTCCAACAGGATCATTATTTACCTTGTGGAAAAGCTATTCATAATAAACACATAAAAGTGCCATGTTTTTACTTTAACTATTTATATTAGGGAAGTCAAATGTCCATGTCTGACTTGTTTAAAAATATTCCAGGATTCAGTATTCCAATTATTACCAATTTCATATCTTAATTTATTCATCTGCATTCATATGAAATCTTTGCGTGGAATAAGACTGATTAAATCTTCCTGATTTCTTTATAGCCTAGGCTACTCAATTTTTGAGTGGCATTAAATTCTAATTTTATTTTCCCTGGTCACCCCTAGTCGCGGGGCTATTCTATTAAGATATGAAAAGAGTGATAATGTTTACAAAAAGATTTGAATTTTTTAGAGGGTTATGTTATTCGTTTTAATATCTTTAATAATGACATTTATTAAGCTTAAAATTTAGAATCCTCTTTTCAAATATTATTAAACACGTAGTTCGGACATTTATACACTATTTTTAATGCTTCAAAATGCTTTTTTATCGAGGTCAATTTTATTTACTGTATGTTATTTACGGACCGTTTTACTTTTTTTTACAAAATTTGATTGTTTGCTTTATAAGCTGGTGTGCTCAGGTTATGGATCAAATAGTGTTTTGGGCTTCATTGCCTGCACTCAAATCCAGTACTGATATTGCTTTAAAAACCGTTGCCTCTTATAGCCTAGCGAGCCAAATACTCAATCTTACAATTTATTGACAGTGCGTCTTGTGGTCCATAAAATATGGTAATTGTAATTTATATCCAAACACTGCAAAAGCAAAAAAGTTCATGCTTCCGAAAACAAATAACTGGTTAACTAATCCCATACACAACATGAACTGGTAACCAGACGAGAGTTCGTGGTTCGCTACAAGTCGTCTTATCGGCTTGCCTCTTCCAGGCATAAATAGGTGAATCATATCTTAATTAGCTTGTGAATTTTACTTTTAGTTCGAGATGAAGATCATGTGAAACATTACAGAATAAGAATGCTCGATGCTGGAGGTTATTTCATCGCAAGAAGAGCAGTGTTCGCCACCATACAAGAACTCGTTGAACATTATAAACTAAGTGCTGATGGATTGTGTTATAACTTGAGAATGCCTTGTATAATGGTGAGGCTTATTTGTGTTTGTACACTCATTAAAATGAAGTTTTAATGGCACTCAGTGAATGCCTTTCAATAATCATTTCTTAGAAATTGCATCAAAATAAGCTATAGTTTTTGAATTTCCTAGAAATTTGTCATCGTTTTCTATATTAGCTCATCAGCTCTTGAAAATTTGTTAGTTGTATAGCATATTGGTTATCAAGGGATGGCAGCTGTTCTCAAACTTATTGTTTGTATGTCGCCAAATTATCACAAACGCCCTACACAAAAAAAAAATTTGGTGCCTTCAAATAAAATTTTGTGATCGTCAATGTGTATTTTATACTTTTTAAAAAGTTTGTAAACATCTAGGCCTGAAGAATAAAGGCAATATCAACAAAACAACATAACTTCATAACATTCACACTTATTTATCTAACAAGGGTTGTGCAGCTGCTGCTCTGAACACACATCATTCAATCATATATTAGTAATGTTTTACAAAATTCTGGTAATTTTCGGACCGCACTTGGCAAATTGCCGTGCGCCTTGGCGGACCCCTATCGGAACCACAGATGTAAAGTTAACAACCATATCTTTCGTCTAATTCAATGGTTCCTAAACTTTTTCGTTGACGAAGTAGTTTTTGGAGTTGTTGCTAATATCAAGATTATTTGGAATAATTTTTTTTCCAAAATTGTATTGTGTCTTTTCAGTTTTTGGAAACTGTAGAAAATAGAGATCCAATCAAAACATTACTATTTTTTTGATCTATTCAGCCTAATTAAGAATATTATAGCCTATTCAATATTTCATCCTTAAAAATACCATTTGAGATCATGTAAGAAACGTATATCAAGTATCACTATCCCTGGTGCCAAGCTTACATTATTGTGTTTGTTGTTGGAAGTCGAAAAGAAACCTATTCAAATGTATTTCAATTGCCGCTATGGTGTTGTGCGGTTGCCGGGTTACCAAATATTATTGTTATTGGATATCTTGAATCTTGAAATTACTTTATAAGATATTTTCCACAAATGATTCTACTAGACGGCATAAGTGATTTTGGTGCATGCATAAAAGCCTTAAACTTTTGACCTGGAATTAACCAAATTATTATGACAATATTACATTTTATTATTATTAGGCTACACTTTATATGAGTTTGTGGGAAATGAGAATTCAGTAACATTCAACCCAATATTAATTAAGTCACCTCGCTTATTGAGTCTGAATGTTCATCTCTTTAAAATTATTTTATTGGATTGCCTATTTTTTAAGAAATGAAGTTGTGTATGAATTTGATTCCCACTATCCTGGTTTCTAGACCAAATAATTATTTTTTTATCAACATCCCTAATTAGACCAACCCGATACTTATTAATTATTAAGCCACCACACCTACTTTTTTTTGTGTGCATTTCTACTCTTGTTTGATTGCCTTGTGCAAAGAAATTGGTTTCACAATGCTGGTTCTTTCAGCCAACTATTCATTCCCGCCAATGGATAAATTAAACGATTCCCGCCAAACAAAATTAATTTTGTTCAATGTTTGCCAATGTTGTTTGTTTTGAATCATCGTTCGCTACATATTCTCCGCAGAAACATTCAGGAGTTCATTCAAGAGTTGTTTGTTCGCAGGTTTCTAAAAAAAACGTTTACGTTCACAACGTTTTTTGCCCGTTAAAATAGTTGGAACTGCTGTTATAATAAAATATAAGCAGCCATGACTTTGCAGATATCCACATCTTTAGGTGGAATGTGTCACAGTAAATGGTAATATATGCTTGCCTTACATTTAGTTTTGTTTGCCAAGGAAGTGACTACTTATTATGTTGTTAATGGGCTTTTCAAGACCAGTCATGTGAAACCCGCGAGCCAATGCGTTATTATATATTTTGAAACCCTACTCGCGAGCTACATTGTCCTATATTATTACCAACCAAACCTTTTGACTGAATTGTTTTGTGTTTTTTATATGTTATCAGTGCATTTTGAATTGAAAATTTTTTTAAACAAAATGGACCTAATATGTTGTAGAGTAAAATGTCAGATATGCTAATTTCACTGCACAAATTTTAAATATTGCAAAACCTGGCTACTTAACAGGGCCATGTCCAGTGTGGGTGTGAAAGGGAAGTCATGTAAAAACACTTTACAAAAGATAAAATGCAAATTTCAAATTCAATTCTCTTAGTCTTGCTTAATAAACTAATTATTTTAAATTGTGTCCATTGTCATGTAATATTTTGGATGAATTGTCTTTGTTACTTATCGATCTTAAGATCGGTGAGTATGTTGATAGGTATTTGTCTGTTTGTTTGTTTGTTTGTCTGTTAGATACACGCGATATCTCACGAAAGCGAGGATGAATCCGCTCCAAATTTTGCATATGCATTCATCATATCTCGGATCAGAAGCCTATTGATTTTTGGATGAATTATGTCGTATAATTAGCGAGGTATTAATTAATTAGTGATGGGACACAAGGGGTCACTATGGAGTAAGGGCGCTGTTTTGGGGATCCCCTAACTTTCGATCGATAAGTCTTCGGTCTCTGACCGATATTCTCGTTTTGTTATTAATTGGTAATTTATTTTATTCTCTTCATCTTAACTCCTGATATGTTCATTCAAAATTATAAACTTTATGTTTTATGTTTATTATTAACATTATTATACATACTGTTTTTCAAACTTCATGTTACTGGTTATCTCACTCTATAAACTATTTTTTCGTTTCCTAACCCTTTCAGCTTGAAGCACCAACTACAGTCGGCCTTTCACACAACACAGTAGATGCTTGGGAGATTGAAAGAAGTTCACTTGTTAAAACAAGGTTATTAGGTCAAGGTCAATTCGGTGAAGTATGGGAAGGTCAATGGAACGGAACAACAAGAGTTGCCATCAAACAGTTGAAACCAGGTAAGATTGGATGAATTTTGAGTTGATGTATTATCACAATTCTCCGTAACTTAATTAATGTCCGATTTTGAACGATCTCGCCATTTTTTTTTTACATATACTTTTGTAATTTCATAGTTTTTAGAGCTTTTTAAAGAGAGCTTTTTAAAGCCTTGTTAGACAGTATTTAAACATATTTTTTCACTGATATTTTATGTCACTGAGATTGCCTGCCTTATTTGAAGTCTTGGCAACATTCCTGAATTTTCCCTCTTGAATGTTTGTCCTGTGTATTGTAATTTATCTAATCCATCCCGATGCTCCTTTGGTATTTTTGAACCCTTCTGCCAATAAGAAAAATCATTACATCCTTATTCATTGTAAATATTATTAGAATTGATTTGCAATTAATTTTATTTTTGTATATCCTGAGTAAATCTGATTTATATTATATTCAAAAGTATATGCAATTTTTTTTACAGAGTAATTTTGCTGTGATTATGGATGATTCCATGTTTATGATATTGAGTTTCTCATCTTTTCAAATGAGATTTATTTTGAATTTCATCTAACCTAATTTTTTGCACATTTGTGGAAATATAACCTAATTTCTTGTGCGATATTGTCTTCCACTCGGTTCCGCTCTAGATAGTTTTGACTGAGTGTTAAGTGCTCTTAATATTCATTGAGTGGTCTGGTCTGATACTACAACACGTTTCTCTATTTTCAAATTTTTAGCTTTTCCGTAAAATAAGATTACTACCGGTAGATCAAATTTGTATTACCTCTTTGTTTCAGCTCAATAATTTTATTATTACTAATAAAAATGAACATTTATATTTTATACTGACGCTTTTGTGCGTTTCATCTTTTATAATTTAGCTTGTTTATTAATAAAGACGACAAAGTTGATCTATTACCTTCGTGGTATTTTGATCAATTTCCTTTGAAACAGCTAGGTGTCTCTAAATCAGTTTTTCCATACTGTTTTGTCAAGTCTGTGTACCGCCTCTTCCGCTTCAATGGAGCATAAATAATATTAATATCTGTTCGAGACATCGTAGGGTATACTGTTGAAAATGGAAAGATAAATTAGCTCAATTTTCAATGTAAATTGATAATGGCTGTGTGCGGCATTGCTGGGCTCTTGGCATCGCAATAAAAATCACATAACTGTTGATAGTTTAACATTTTGTTTGTACAGTAATTTGTTCGTGACAGTAGCCTAATTAATTGTTCGAGGAATTTGCTATGCGATCTTTTTTGGTTTCAAAATTGATTATAACCCAGGTTTCAGGGATTGTAAATTTTTTTTTGTTACCTCTGGCTTCATTGTAAAGATCCGGATTTTTAATGTTGGGTTTTATATGAGATCTTTATGAATTCTTTATCAGCTCTTAACATTAGCATAAGATTAATAGAATATATAGTTATTGTAGATCAGAATTTTCTCAGTTGGCTTTATTGGGTATCATTGTGTTGATGACAATGTCCCTAACCTGTTCAGCACACAGATTATTTTCCACAAATTTTATACAAAATTTGTATTCGCCTGTCATACACATCTCACTTACATATTTTAAACCCAATTTTATTGCCTGAGTCAATAACTTTTTCATGTCAGTTTTATGAATCGGCATTCTCGCTCTCGGCATTGATGCTTAACTGAAATACAATGAAAAAAGTAACCAAATTTTTTTCACATTTTCTATTAGGGGAATCGTAGAGACACCCTCATTCTTAGTGCGAAAAATTGACCTCATTTCGTTTGCAGAGTTGGCTTATTAGCCAGAATTACAGTGTTTACTTGTAACTTTATCATTTGCTTGTTACTCAGGTACAATGGACGCTAAAGAATTTTTACGAGAAGCTCAAATTATGAAGAAACTTCGCCATCCTAAATTAGTTCAATTATATGCAGTTTGTACAATTACGGAACCTATTTATATTGTTACTGAGCTTATGTGCAATGGAAGTCTACTGGACTATTTGAAAGGTACGTAGGTCTATCATGAATCTTTAAATTAAATTTATTGAAATTGAGATGTGAGAAATATCTCGCCAAATTATAGTTACAATTATTGGTACTCTCATAGTGTGTGTGTACCAGGTTAGGGTTAGGCGATAATTTTTTCCCGATTTTCCCTATTTTAGTTCTATTACAAATTCGAGGATTGTCTGTGTTAGCCAAGTTAATATACCCCCTGCCCTTAGGTTTCAGTCCCTTTACACAACTTGATGTAAAGCAGGCGAACAAAATTACTTACCTCCATATTGGTACACACAATTCTGGAGTGTCCGATTATTTATCTTAGAATACTGTACATTAAATAATCCCATATCGGTGGAAAAAATCGATGGTTTCCCTAAATTGTTTGTCTGGTTCATGATGTTATTGTCTTTTGGCAAAACATTACTTTCCTTTCGACTCCTGGAGCCATTCTTCAAAAACCGGAATTCGAACCTGCTAACACAGTGATTTCCAAAGTTGATTGACCAGGGGTCGAAATTAGAAACGGAAGGATAATTACGGGTCGGTAGGGGGAGTGTCGCAACACTCTCAAGGGGCCAGATGCTGGGCCTCGTATGAATAATTAAGATACCGGTATAATTGAATTGTTAGGAATGCACATGCTTAAACTGGGATTATGAAACAACAATTGGTTTGAGAACTACTGTGCTAACATGTTCAGAATCGAAAAGGATTTTTGAACTAATTTCTTACTAAAATAACATTTCTTTTTCATATTAAACAGGCAAAGGTCGCGGAATAGATTTCCAAGTAATGGTTGACATGATGGCTCAAATAGCAGCAGGAATGGCGTATCTTGAATGTCAGAACTTTATTCATCGGGATCTTGCAGCACGAAATATACTTGTTGGTGATAATAATACATGCAAAGTTGCTGATTTTGGTCTTGCCAGATTTATTAAGGTAATGTTGGAATTTTTTGTTTGCGATTACAAAGCTACTTCATTATTGGGTCTTTCATGCTTTAGGATCGATCAATTATCTTCTTATTAACTATATGAAACTGGTCTAGAAAGTTGACTTTTGCTTAAGTGTGCTTTGAGCTCCTCGCACAATTTTAGTCTTGGAGAACTAGATTGCACAATTATTTTTTGCCCAATACTGTTGTTGCAAGAATTTATTTTTTTCACAATTGTTTTGGTTCCCCACGGCTTCCCTTCCCCAGTAAAATTATGTTCTCGAATTTTTGCTTATTTTTTGCATCATTCATTATTTTACTGGTTGGAAAAAATAAACTTGACTATGACTTGACTTTCTCTCTGCATAAACTGCTGTTAAATTCATTGCTGTGGATGTACCCATGTCTACACAAATTTTTTCATTCTTAATACTGAAATGCAAAATTTTTTTTATTTGAATTGTTTGCTCATAATACGAACTAGTGTTGAACTATTTTGAATGGAATGAATTTAGCATCCTATGTCAAAACTAATCAAGTCTGTGATATAGGCCTAAGTAAAGAGTGAATTGTCAGAATACTATCATGACAAAATATATGCACAACAAAATCTCAATTTTATAATGTGCTTTCGATTTGGTTTCTGCCGTTCTGCGGGACTAACTACTTATCCTTCTTCTATGCTTTTGTGTCGGTGGATCCGTATGAATATAATGAAGATGACTATTCTAAGTATTACCAACGCGAAAATATTTCTGTAACGCCTCGTCTGACCAAGGAAAAGTTACTTAAATTCATCTGTGTTAGTGTGAAAGAGACTCTTGAATTACTCGGGATTTCTAAATTGTAATTTTCAATTAACATTATGAACAATTTTGGGATCAATGTTGTTTTATCAAAATTAATAAATGATTGTGAAAAACTTACAAAAACCGTAAAAAAAGGCAAAAATCACCCAAAACCTTGCAATAGTGTGCAAAATCACTGAAAAAATGTGGAGAACCACCAAAAACCGTAGTAATGATTTCAAATAATACTTATTTTTGTCTCTCTATCAGGACACCGAGTCGCAAGACAATGAAGGAATCTACATGGCCCATGAAGGAGCAAAGTTTCCAATCAAATGGACGGCACCAGAGGCTGCCTTGTACAACAGGTTTACTGTCAAGTCAGATATCTGGTCGTTTGGAGTCTTACTTTATGAAATTATTACCAAAGGAAAAATGCCCTATCCAGGTTGGTAACTAATTTTTTTCGCCTATTTTTGTCAAGTTGTGTAAAGGGACTGAAAGCTATGGGCAGGAGGTATATTTACTTGGCACAGTCCCTGAACTCGTAATGGATCGTATATAAGGGAAATCAGAATGAAATTATGGCCTAACCCTAACCTGGTACACACACTACGGGAGTACTACGTGAGTACCGAAAACTCATTATTACCTCTTCAAAATTTCAAATTTCGACATCAAGATTGAAGTATCCAACTTTCATTTAAATTTATATTAAGTTTGTTCTTTTATTTGGAATTTTTTTTTTGAGATTTTGAAATAATTTATTTAATAAGTATGGATGATCAGGGATGTTAATTTTGTTCGATTCAATGGTTATTGGTCTTACGATATTGCGAAGTTGCTATTATATTTCCCTCTATATCAGTGGTTCTCAAACTTTTCAATCCGCGCCCCTTTTTAAGAATTTGTCAAGTCTTGCGCCCCACCTTAAAAATAACCAACGTTAGCTATCAATAAGCTACAAATATCAGATAGTACCGTAAAAGAATGTTTTATTCAAAAACACGTTAAAAATACGTGGATGGAATCATAATTTTCAAAAAATAAATAAATGTTAATATCCAAAATAAGGCAGGCAAGATCAAATCTAACAAATATATTTATTTTTGCTTAGCTTCACACACCCTCAAAAAATTGTTTAATTTCGCCACTGCTCTATATTTTCTTTTTTCATAATAAAGGCAAATGATGATATTATGATAAGTCATAATTGGTTTGATGATAAATCGTCTCTTCACAAACTGATGCCTTTGCTATGCGAAAGAAATTGTTTTAGAGTGTTTTTTATTGCCACTATTTCATCTGAATAGTTACAAATAAATAACATAATTTGAATAATTGGTGCATGTGAAAAATTACGATTTAACACAAAATAAGTCAATATGAAGTGACTTCAAAATTCTAAACACAGTAGAGCTGTGGATTTTACACTGAATATTTTTTCTTCTTTGTGGCTGTTATGAAAGAAGCCTGTTTCCTGCTTAACTATTGGTCAATCCATTTCCAATAGGCTATTTAACAAAGTTGGAGGAAGTCGCAAGAATACCTACGTTCCCTATATTTTTCAAATTTTCTCAAAGTCTTACAGGAATAATCTTTCTCTGAATTTTATTCCTTTTCATAATTTACAGAAACACCTTTCTATGACATTCGGTACAATTCTTTAAGCGTTTAGCTGTGTTGTTGACAATTCAGTGGCTATATTAGTCATTTGATTTGTATCCGTATATTCGACTTCAGGCGCTTCAGAAGTGTCTACCTTGTTCGCCTACTTTACATCAAGTTGTGTAAAGGGACCAAAGCCTATGGGCAGGGGGTATATTCACTTGGCTAACACAGACAGTGCCCGAACTTGCAATGGAACTCTAAAATAAGGAAAATTGGAATAAAATCATGGCCTAATCCTAACCTGGTATACATACTTACGCGAGTACCTGACTCTAATATCCCTTTTTCTTCCATCCTCAGGTATGACTAACAGAGAAGTTTTGGACCAAGTTAGAATCGGTTATCGCATGCCACAGATGACTGAATGCCCCGATCAACTTTACGAAATAATGAAAGAATGTTGGAATGCTGACGAAGCGAAACGACCATCATTCGAAACATTGCAGTGGAAACTTGAAGAATATTTCTTCCAAGACGACGGAGATTATAAGGAAGCAGATGCCGTTATTTAAAATGCCTGAAAATAATTTAGTCAAATTGATTTTGTAATTGTTTTTAAAAAATGAATAATTTTTCGTAATCATAATAATTGTTAATGGCTCAATAAGTAGATTATTTGGAGAAGTTGAAACATCGTTTTTCGTTTTTATTCGGACCTTTCATCCAACTCTATAGGAACTCTAACAATGACTAACATATAATATGGGTATTTTAAGTTGCATTCAATATATTAATAATATGGATGTAATGCTTGAATATAGCGCTTCATTGAATGTATTTATATTCTATTTAGTGATAGGCGGACCAGTTTTTATTTTGGTGTTTGTGTGTTGAAACAAGTTATTATTTAGCTTTCAAGCATTTTTTACAGTAGCGACTCATTGTGTGTTGTTAATCTGATTTACCATCTCTTAGTCAATTGTGTATTGTACATTTTTTGTGCCTTTTTTAATATTTTATAGCAAACATATGATCCTGCTTAATATGTAAATGCAAAACTGGTATAAAGCAAATTATAAAAGTTTTCACCAATGGTTTGAATGTTCATACAGATGCACTTTACCAAGCCAAGGAGGAATAGAAAAATTGCGAAGGTACATTCATGTCGAGTAAAAATATTTTGCCAAATTACATCGGTTTTCTAACATCAGTTGAGCGGTATTTAAATTCAACAAATATGGTGTAACAAATATGCTTATCCTTTTTTTACAATGAAAAACGTTTCATCTTATCAGTAGTTAACTTTTGTGTATTGCTACTATAATAATGTCTCAAATTTGCTAAAGTTTTATGTAGCAAAATATGATCAATGTTTGTACTTGCCATCGTGTATGAACAAGTTCTTTTTAAAATAAGCTTTCTATATGAACATGACGTTTCAGATTTCAGTGGATATTGTCATAATACCATTTTCATCATGTAATAACTCTTTTGTTTTATAATAATTGTGAGATAATAATAATGATACTAAGTGCACTTTATGTAATAATAATTGTGACAATTTCTCATAGTTTTTAATTTCTATCTTTTTTTTTATCTTGAAATACTAATAATACATTCAGCAATTGTGAACTTACATGAATTTGAAATCAAATGTGCCTTTTCTCAGATTTGTAAAATCAAATCAGTCTAACTGAGGATTATTTTATTACTTTGGGGGCAAATATTTTCCAAAGCCATATTTTTGTCTAACATAGACTTCTAATTAGCCATTGAGCTATACTAAAACATTCTTTCGCTATTATTTTAAGATATCTGGAATTAGGCAACATTTTTCTTTAATAGAATGCAAAAATTGAAAAACTGCTGTTTTGCCTAATGGAGTGATGTTTTGTATTACTAACTGTTCGATTACGGTTCATAATAATATACCAGAGTTCTATTTTGGAAATAACATACATGAACACGAAATGATTTTAAATTATTCAAAATGATCACAAGCTCATTAAGTGATACTCCCGTAGTATGTGAACCAAGATGGCGGACACCAGAACGTAGTATGTGTGCCAGGGTATGGTTAGGCCATAATTTCAGGTACAAACACTACGGGAGTCACTTAGCTAGTCCCTGAACTCATAATAGAATTGAAATAACGAAAATTGGAATAAAGTTATGGCCTTACCCTAACCTGTATACATTCTATGTCCCGGTGTCTGCCGTCTTGGTTCACATACTTCGGGAATATCCAGTAAGTGAGTATCAGTGTTGGTTCCGTTCCCCAAACCCTGAGCCTCAGGTCATCTGAGAGTCTGGTCGATCGAGCCGATCACTGAATGGATCTCACTGGTGGTTTGTTGATGCCAAGTGAGTTATTCTATTAAGAACAGTGCTTCCCAACAGTGCTTTTTTCAGTTTGCGGCCCACTTTCATTGCCATTTTTTTGCAACTCACAATGAGATATTGATATATGAGAAAAGAAACAATGTATCCCCATGCTATTTACTATTAATGCGAAACTTGACCTTTCATAGTGGATATTATCAGATCAAGTAGTAGGAGACACGCTCACATGCAACGTAGTATTAACACTCAACACATTGTGCTTTTGGCTCAAAATTCTAATTGTTACATTGTTTTTTTTTGTCATAATTGTTACATAATGATAATGCCACAATTTTCCGATTCAATCAAAAACTGTAGGTAACATTTGGATTTCAGTCAATTACTTGAGCCTCACCTATGGTATATATTCAGGTATCAAGTACTTTTAGAAACTGATTGGTGCAGTAATAATCCTATTGCCTAGAAAATGCCAAGGTCTTATACAGAGTACAATTGAATGAATAATAGGTCATATTATTGTGTCTATATTTTGCCTATTATTTTTTATATGTTTTTACCTTGACAAATACACTTTTCAATTTTTAGATTATGGTACAAGGGTGCTGTAGAGATTTTTAACTAGGAGAGGGTTAATTGGTCATTGGATAAATGTTTTGTTACAAATGCATTTGTGTTGGAGTTGCTATTTTTTTTTCTAAACTTTTTGATTCTTGTGGAGTGCTTGAACCTCAACAATTATTATTATTTCTCTGAAATCTATATTTGACAAAAACAAAAGATAAGCATATATAGAAAAACATGTTATTCGAGAAAGATCACAGTCTCCCTATTGTGTATGTATACAAAATTTCTATATTTTTTCATTCCTCAACTGAAACTCCTCTCTTTATAATTAGAAAATTATTGTGATATCCATTACACCAGCACAAGTTATACAGACATTCACAATTTTCCTGTATTTGCCAACTGGGCGAGTATTTTTATTTGCAATTAAGAGTGTTTCATGGCGAGAAGGCAGATGTTGAAATTCTTATTAATCTAACACTCAATTTTATATAAAGTGACAGGAATTGAAATCAGAATATACGTTTTCCTCAATACAGTTTTTTTCAAATTTTGTCCTTCTGAATTAAACCAAGTGTGTGCAAATGCGGCCCACAAAGAAAAACTGTGCGGCTCGCGGAGAATAGACAAATTTTAATGGTGTGTAGCCCGCAAAACAATTTTTTAATTGAGTTTAATCTGGCATGTGTGAGTAATTGCAATTACTTTTTCCGCGGTTTCACCCAGTTAAATGTATCTGACCCTCCTGTGATGAATGTTGCACACCCCTGGGTTAAACCACTGAATTGTATTATTCAGTACAGCAACAAAATGATAGCAACCTCATTATTTTAGTACATTTGAACCGATACACATTGTGATATATGAGATTTTCATTCCTTAACGGTTAGTTTTTCATATACTATTATTGAGAATGATATTTTTGTAACAAATTATGAGTTACTTTGGTACAAAATGCTACCGAACAATTTTTTTTATTTTCAATCAGCCTTGATATATCACATGAACACTTTATTTATGCATAGTTAGCAAGGCTGGGGAGAAAGTGTACGTACCATCGGCTTTGAATCACGACTATGGATTAAACAAAAATTTTGGCTCCCGACTCTGGGCTAAACTCAAATTTAGAAAACATAAAGCTTTTGGTTTTTGCCTGCATTTTTTATTATAATGTTAAGAAAGCTTTTAAGTTTCTTACTTGTTTTATCACAATCGTAAGTTTGAAATTCTGACCCAAAGAAAATTTCAGAAAATTGGAAAATACTAATCAAAACATGCCGAACTTTGAATGTAAAACCACTATAGTTCTTTGTATGCAGTGAATTTTTATCCTGCTTTTTGATGCAATCTTGTTTGTTAATGCGTCATTGGGATAATGCGTTTTGTACCATACTTTATCAGTTTATCTCATGACTTTAATCTAAAGTGAAATGCTTATATCAGCAACTGATAAGTTGGCGATCTTTGCGAGTCCAAAGATGTTTTTATTTTTATTTCATTGTTTGCGATTACTAATTGTGCTTTTGTGAACATCATCCATCATGCCTGCAAGAATCAAATATTTTCATTCGCATATTTTCAGCAGCGTACTGCACTTTTTTTTATTTTCATTTATAGTTGAATAAATTTCAGCATCTAATCTAAGTCGTATATGAAATTATCATAGAGAAGTAGATTAACTGGTAGGTTAACTGTAGTTTCGAGAATGAAAATTTGAAAACAGGTTCTTTTTGTATTGAAGTCAATATCAACAGGTGACAGGTCCCATCATTTTAAAAAACCATGCGGAACTCGTAGCTCTGAAAAATAAGATCGGGATTGCACGGACCCTTGGGTCCCACCTCCATTCTATGTGGACAGTGTTGGGTTGGGTGTACTACAGTACCCTGAACTATTAACATCTAAGTATCTGGAATAATTAGCTGACCGACCATATCAGGATAGGACTAGGACTATTTTAAAACAAAATATCTTCAAAGCATAAATGTTCGTCTCTGTTCAAAGTGTTCGATCGTTTTAGTTGCCGTTAGACGTCGTGAAGGAGCAGTGAGAATTGTTTGTTGTAAACATTGACATAGCGTGGTCCAATAACCTACTTGTTAGGCACCTGTTTAGCTGTCGCGGTACCTTACAGTTTAGCTATTATGCATGATATTCTCGTGCTACCTTTGCCTTTTTATTAGTTATGGTCAGATTAGGTTCTTAGTTACTTTTTAATCCGCATTCAGGCACAAGTCAATTACGGGTACCGGGTAGTCTATTAGATACAAAATGTTGGTGTCCTGACTTTTGCAGTGATACTGTGATATGCGTTTGTAAAATAATTGGGTTAATGGCCAAGTTTGTTGGACTGGCTGAATATTAAAAACAAATGCTGAAATATTATTTTTTCCAATATTCAGCTTCTCAATATTATCATATTACTAATATTCCGAATATTTGAATAATTTAACACCTTTTTCTCTGGCAATTTTAAGACTCACTAATACTGTCTGAAGTTCATGACATCGATTTGTTCAAGTCAACAATGGCAATTTGTTTAGTCGCTCAGACCCTTCTTTCATTTTATTATTTAGTTGGCTTCCTCCAACATCAAGTTCATGCATCTGAAAACAAATACTGCAATAACTAGCTAACCAATTCCATGCCCGACATGGTCTGGTAATTTGACGAGGGGCCATGGTTTGCCATATGAAAACGCCTTCTTATCAGCTTTCCTCTCCCTCAGGTAAAATATGTAAATCCTGCTCAGACAGATATTCAAGCATGGTTGTCTGGTTGCAAACATTGCTGAATTTTCGTGGTTTTGCGTATTATTTGTCAGTTTTTGGTCTTTCTGAAAATTGTTGTAAATGAAATAATTTAGTTGTCATCAAATTATTAAATAGTCTCAAAAACTCAGCGATACCCTAGGCTAAAATTAGCTATCAATACCTCTAACCGTTACATCACTTACATGGTTAAATATTCCATCTAGAGCAGTGATTTCCAACCTTTTCGTCGGGGTGAAATCTAAATGAAACATTCAGAGGTGCAAGGAACCCGTTGCAATACTCAGATACTTGAGATGAAATGCATAAACTATAATTATATATAAAAGTAAACTTGATACAGGCAAAATAAAATTGTGTTTAAATTTTAGCAAGTTTAATAATAGTGGTAAACCTATTGTTTAGTTATTTGAATATGTTCAAACAATATACATAATAGATTTGAATTTAAAATAGGTAACCCCTGGTTGGTTGGTTTAAAACTACTATTTTAGTCAATGTTATAGTGAAAGCTTGGGAATATTTAGAACAATATTCTGCTCTTCTGTTGCTATAAAGTATAAGACATCATTATTTTTAAGTATCCTTGTGACACATATACTAAATGTGTTATGAATACACAGAGAGTCCCACACAACCACGTGAAAATGTCTATTATTAATGCAATTTGCAAGTAGGTGGAAATTAGCATTATAACTTCCCACAAACCTCATTATGAGCAAGGTTTTGTAAAAAGGAATAG